GCATGTGGGGGGGGGTGTGCGTGTGTGTGCGTGTGTGGGGAGAAAGGACGAGGAGGCTGGGGAAGAGTGAGTCAGCCATCGGCCTGGGCCTCAGCATAAAATGTGTGTGCGCTTTCTGGGGCACAGTCTGCCATTAATATCAATGGTAAGAATGTGTTCAGGCTTTAAAATAATCTTACAGTCTTATTTCTGAAATTATAAACTGGTACCTTAAAATTTTAAAGGAAATACCTTCCCTGAATCCCTCAGAAAATATTTCTACAAATAAATTTTGAGGTGGGAAAATAGATACATAACTTTTGTAACGCAGTTCAAAAAACAGCATTGCTGTGGGCTCCTATTCTGCAAACGACACACTACGCTCACAGTCCTCTGGACTGGAGTCTCCCTCCACACTGCGCAGGAGCCTGGCTCGGCCGCTCCTGCGGAGTCTGCCTGGCCAGGCTTCAGCCAGGCTCCGACCTTCTCCGAGGCCCATCTGTGCACAGCCTTGCAGAATCCAGTCTTGGCAAGAAGTCACTTTAACCAGAAGCCCCACCCTCAATATATGATAGGGTTCCTATCCTCCACTGTTGCCAAGGTGACGTCTGACCCCGTGTTAGGTTGGCTTTAGCCAGAACCCCCCTTACTCTGATGTTTCTTCTTAGCAATTTTCTACCCACTAACCTCCCACCCCCCCTTGGCTACAATTCCCCCTCGCCCACGCTGGGTTTGGAGTCGAGCCCAGTTCCTCTCCCTGCTGTAAAACCCCATTGCACTGGTCCCTATACCTGCTGCGAAGGTCCTGAATAGTCTGCCTTACCATTTTCATGGAGCGTCATTTCATATTTTTTTAACTGACTAATGAGCAATAAATACTAACTGAATAATGAATGTTGTTTAAGGCAGTATTTCCTAAAGTTGTTACTTTTATTTTATTTCAGGGAGCAAAACCATGTCCAGTCCACGACAATGCCTCCCTCCCTCTTGGTAAGATCCTCCTGGGCTGGTGGGCGGAGCAGGGGCTGGGGCAATAAGGGTGGGGTCTGCCTACGCCGCCTGAGCGCCTTCTCTGTGGGGCTCCAAGGCAGGAGAGGCCTGGACCCCGATGGCTGCTTCCACACAGGCTGGAGACAGCAGCAGCTGTCGCTCTGCCCAACACTTTTAGGCCACATCTGGTGGCTTTGCCGTAGCCAGATGACTCAAAGTAAACAGTCCTCAAATCCCCTTCTCGTTTTTCTCCCTGCAAATCCAGCACAGAACAGAAACACAAGCGGATCCACCTACAGCTACATGTTCGAGGAGCAGCTCCGCAGGCCACAGGCTCCTCGCAGACCATCAGTTATCCAGGGAACAGGCGCTGGGGCCTCGGGTCTGCAGCACTATTTACTTGTACAACCAATAAGTTATTAACTTGGGTTCTCTGAATGTAAAAGTTCAAGTCTGGACAAAGAAGAAGTTACTTGTGGAGAAAATCTAGGGCACACAAATGGAAATGACAAATTAGATTTACGTGGCTGGTGTTTAGAAATCAGCTTTTTCAATTTCCTTTCATAAAACAGCGCCAAAGACATATTTCCCCCCAACTTTCAGTTTATGAAAATTTGTAGCTGAATTTTTTAGAGAAAAGGTACAGGCTAGAGCTTGCTAATTCCTGCCAAACATCACAGGGCTCGATTAGGTGCAATTAAATGTAAATAAAGTGAGCAACACTGTAATTAAATGGCAAAAAATGAATGTTTTTTATGCTTGCAAATTACATTAATCTTTTGTGTATGACTTTCTTCATATGGATGAAAACAGTTTTCCAAAAAGTTGATTTCTTTAAAAATATGAAGCCAGACATGCACCGTGTGGAGAGAAGTATGCTGTTGTTTACAAGATTTAATTTTCTCACATTAGCTAAAGTCACCCCAATAATTGGTTAGAAAAGCTTACTTTGAAAATCGTGCCAGAGACTTGAAGTCTGTTTCAAGTGGTTCATGCAAAAACGAGTTTCCTGGTTCCCTGCTGGGAGGCTATCATGTTAAAAGCACATTGTTGGCATCCATGCTCTGGAGGAGGAGGTTCCCGGCCGGCCGACTGTCGACAGTAGGGAGTCAGTGCAATGTGGTCCCTCGGGAAAGCAGAACTCATCTCCTCTCACATCCCAGGGCTGTTGTTCCCAGGAGCCCGGAGGATGGCGCGTGACCCTCCCGCCCAGTTCACAGCTCCTACTTCTTATGGGGCAATGCAAACAGCATTTTGTAATTTGTATTTTTTGCCGCAGAAATAGAAAAAAGACACTATCAATTATCTTTCTCATAAACTTTCAAAAACTAAACCCTGTGGTGGAAGAGAGAGAAACAAAATATGGCTCAGTGGATGAAGTCCTCAAATCAGACTCCAAATGGCTCAGTGATGGGTCATGAGTTTTCCCAAAGATACACAAAAACTACTTATTAAGCTAAATTGCTAAAAAGAACCTAAATAAGAAGTGATGCTTGGGTCTTTGGGGGGGGGGGACTGGAAACCCAAGGAGCTAATTCGATGAGCCTGCTCAGGATGGCATAAGAGGGCACAGGGAGGGAGGCACCACCTGCGGTGAGGAGCCGGGATGGCTCCCACTTGGCCGGCGGCAGAGGAAGAGAAGGTGGGTGCTTGGAAGCCAGCAGCCAGCACAAGAAAGGCCGACCAGAGAGGGGCTCCCGCAGGCACGTGCATGGGGTCACCCCCTCGGACTGCTGTCTGCTCCAGCAGCGGGTCCTCAGCCAGAAGCCCTGGAGGGACGTTCACCTCTAGAGCTGCACTGCCCCGTGCAACAGCCATGGCCTCGTGGAGAATCTCAAACTTCACTAGTGAAAATGAAATGAAATGAGCAATCCAGTTCCTTGCTGACACAAGCCACATTTCAATTTGTCGTAAATAGGAAGTAGAAAAGTATATATTATCATAATATATTTAGTATTCCATGTAAAAAGCAATGAGTATTTATAAAAGATACGTCCCGTGTCTGCCAGGAGATAGGTACTGTGTGTAGACAGTGAGGATGCAAGGTCACCTGTCCTCAAGGTGGACACCTGAAGGCACACAGGGACACTCAACTTGTCCTGGTCTTTTTTTTTTTTTTAAGTGAAAAAAATTATAAATGTTTAAATAAAAATTAATAAATAAAATAAGTACATAAAGAAGAAGAATTTGAATTGCTTGCTTTTGGCTGTTTCCAATGGAATGGGGTTGGGCAGCTATTGCTCAGGGACAACTGCTACCTGGAGAAAAATATTTCTCTGGATGTCCATGGAACATCATGAAATATGGAAACTGCTAGCAGATCATCTCAGAAGATAGTTGTTTTTTTTTAAAATAAAAAAAAAGATTAGAGCTGACAGTACCACCTTCATCCTCTGGTTTGGTTCTCCAGAAATAATTTTGAAGTTACAGTCTCTGGATTCAAAGGATGAAGTCCTTAGAAATGATTTACTCATCTTGGCATCTGTAAAGTTTCATTTCGATTTTCAGAGATTTGGGGAATGAAGAGCCTTTGCGGGGTGGAAGCATCATCGTCTGTTTTCATCTTGGGCACTATAGCATTTTTAACTATTCTGTCCACTGATCCTAGACATGCATATATTCTATGAGGAATCTCTGTACAACCAATGGAACAAAACCTTTGTCTGAAATGCATGTTACTACAATCCACAGATTAAAACATATCAGCAGAGATGCCACAGTTAACTAGACATCACACACAGTTCGAAAGTCAGCTAGTTTCAACCCAAAAGGAAAGCACAGGATATGGAAGCTACCACCTACTTAACACAACCACCAGAGGCCGTGCGCCAGGAACTACGGTGGAACACACTGATCTTAGTGTCTTGCTGTCTGTAGATCATTGATCGAAAATCTATGAATGACAACACTCGACTTTAAATAACAGCAGTCTGTTGGGGCAAAGGACTTCTTTTAAAAACATCTTTAGCCCTGGCCTGTTTGGCTCAGCGGTTAGAGCGTCGGCCTGCGGTCCGGAGAGACCCAGGTTCGGTTCCCGCTAAGGGCACGTACCTCGGTTGCAGTTTGTCCCCGGCTCTGGTTGGTTGTGCGGGTGGCAGCCACTCGATGTGTCCCTTTCACGTCGATGTTTCTCTCTCTCTCTCTCTTCCTCTCTCTCCCTCCCACTCTATCTGTACAAAAAATGGAAAAATGTCCTCGGGTGAGGATAAAAAAAAAAAAATCTTTAAATAAAAAGAAAAATCTTTTGTTCCTTTTCTAACAGGAAGACTTTGATGCTTTATTTAGAACAAAAAAATGACACATCAATTCTCCACAACTAATAACATCTTTAAAAGGACAGAAAATAGAGCAAATAGATGTCTAGCTCTGAACCTGCTCTCAAACGAGAAGAGCCCCAAGAATATCCAAGACTCTAAAATACGCTTGAACATACTGCTCCTTAATAAACAGTGGTTGGAATGAATATATTTAAAAGTGATCCTGGGAGTAACATACACTCAACCTGGCTAGATTGATAATACTTGCATTGTCAAAGAAATGCTTAAAACCCTGTTTTGAAAAAATAACTGCTCTCTGGGGGCCTGGTTACTGAAGACACTATTGAGCTCTCTTCCTTGGCTAGCAATGGTATATTCATTCTAGGTAAGAGAAGTCTCCATACATGTGAGCATTACCACTTTCTGTTATCAATGCTTTATTTTTAAATATTTTGTAGACTATTGATTCTTTTTAATTAATGAAAATAAACCTTAATAATTCTATTCTTTCAATAAAGTACAATAAGTACTAAGTTATATAAAAACAATGACATTTATTGAATCCTGGTTATTAGAACCTCCTTCTTTTATCTCAGTAAGACACATAGTCAAAAGTATTGAAAATGAAATTTTGTTCTATTTGGCTAAGGTGACACAGTGAACCAAGAATTCTGCCATGGTGCTTACATCTTCACTAGTAACTAACTAAAAGAATTCTGCTAGAAAGAATGCATTTAAAACACAGGTCTACAACTGCACCCCAAAAGGCCGCACCTTAGACAGCTCCATTCCGGGCCCGCACTGCTTGCAGAGAACACAGTTTCCAGACCGATCCCTGAACTCTTGTTGTCTGCAGTCCCCTGTTTCACAAGTCACTGGACATACCTGAAAGAAGTTTCACAAAACATTATCTCAAAGTAAGTTCACTGCATTTTTTTTTTTTGCAAGGAAGAACAATATCATCACTCTAATTCCCACAATCCCCGAATGTAAAATATTAAGTCAGAATGAGGCCAATTTAATTTTCACTATAGGAAGGAAAACCACTTTTTTAATAAGTCAATGAAACAAATAAATCAATAAGCCTGATTTTTCTCTGAGTTCTCTAAATGTGGTCTCTTTTTCTTGGCCTCCACAGCTGTCTTCCACTGAGGCATTTCTGAGGACCTCAAGTAGAAAATGACTTTTCTAAAAGGATGTGTAAAAGAACAGTCATGCAGGGACCCAAGCTCATTTTGCAATCTCACAAATTCTGATTTCCAAAACTATATTTTTTGATCATCGAGAAATGCAAGCATATTCAAGGATAATGAACTGAGCAAGTAAATAAATGAAATAAATTAGTATAGCTGCAGGGACTTTGCTACCACCCTCCAGACATATCTGCCACCCAGTTTCAATGTAGAAGTTTCAACCATTTTAGGTGCACTGCATTTATTTAGAGGTTGTCTTTCAAAACTTCTGACAATCGCGAGATCAGTAAAATTCTTGAGGATGATGAAGATGACAATTGTAGCCAAACACTCTGAATGATTCCAAGTAAAAGTGCTGTGTAAATATAACTTATGTTCTTACTGATTACCATCTCACGATTTAAATGGGACCTAATAATACACAGCATAGGACTTAAATGGAAAACGTATCTATTTTGGAAAAAATAAAGGTTGCAAGTAATTTTCCAAAATATAGCTTTTATCTAAAAACAGTAAATTCACTTTATATACTATCATCCTTAAAAAGTGTGTTAATCTGCTTCTTAACAGTATTTTGTTTAAAAAAAAAATGTTGGAAATAACAGAATTTCAGATTGGGGACAACGTTCAGCTCAGCCTTTGATCACTAGCGGGAAAGCCCGCACCACCATTCCTGATAGAACCTGTTTGCCAGGGTGGAAGCGGAAACCCTTAGGAAGCACAGGAGCAGCCTGCTGTGGATGAAGCGATCACACGAGGTGCACAGCGGATGTGCTGGATGGTTGCAATAAGGAGCGATCATTCAGCACAAACTACCTTCACCTGGTGGCAGAAATACCTGCAGTGTCTGCCAGCCTCCGTCTATAAAATCCAAGGCTGACCCTGCAGAGCAGGCAGGAAGCAGAGTTCAAGGTGGGATTTAGGACGAGGACATGATTTGGGGCCAGAGGTCTAATAATTTCCTCCTGCCTCTCTTAACCGCCCTTGACTACCAGTCTTAGAGGAGTTGGCTTTCAGAGAGGTAGGAGATGCCCTCCCTCCTACAGAGGCTGTAATGGCTTTGAGAAAGACATTCCCCAAACCCCCTCATGGACCTTCGTTTCAATATTTAACTACCTCAACTGACAGAAAGATAGCTTTCCTTACATGTGCATGAATCTCAGGTTCCAAATGGACCCCACTTCCTCTTATTTTGTTTTCTAATAAGACTTTGGGTACTGCCTTCAGTGTAAATAATTATTTTCATAGTTGTAGATCGTGATTATATCTGCAAACTAAATAAGTTTCAATTTTTTTTTAACAACTTCATAGATCTTTTGTGCCAAGCTTTCAAACACAAAAATTCTCCATCTGGCCTTAATGCTTTTGGAACCAAGGATATAAATAACTATATAAAAATAACAGAACTTTAAAAAAAATCAATTCTAAATGCTTCACAAACTGTGTGAGTCATGGGCTCCCAGTCAGGACCTTGGAGATGCATTGGGAATGCCTGTAAACCAAGGTAAGAATCGTGGGCTGTGATTATGACTTCATCTAAATTTAAATAAAACAATTTCAACAACTGTTACAAACATCCAGACTCAGGAGCAATGTTTGATTTATTAATTAAATGTAACAATTATAAAATATAATTTGAAAGAAAAATTTTAAATATAGAATCAGACATAGAAAATAGTTTTGGTACTACTTATATGAATTTTTTCCCCACATTCTTTTTTAATTTTTCATTTTTATTGATTTTTAGAGTGAGAGAGAGAGAGGAAAACAGAGAGAGAAACATCAACATGAGAGCCAAACACTGATCAGCTGCCTCCTGGGGATCAAACCTGCAACCCCGCACGTGCCCTGACAGGGAACAGAACCAGGTGACCTTTCGGGGCATGGGACAACGCCCAACCAGCTGAGCCGCATAAGGCAGGGCTCATCACATTCTTATGAAGAGAGTTGACTTACCAAATAGGCTAGTAAAGCTACAACGGTGAAAAGCGTCCTCTCTTGTGCTAGTGGCGCTTTTAGAGCCATGACTCCTGTCAGGTGCACTCACGGCTGACGAGTTCTGGGGGTTAGAGGGCACAGACAGCGTTAGTGACACTTGGTGGCTGTGCTCTGCATTCACTGAATAATGTTTACTGTTTGCTTATATATACTAGATGACAGATTTATGCTTTAAAAGGAATCACCTTTAAAAAGATACAATTGGCATATAAGATGTCATCTTTAAAAATTTAAGTTATTAGTTAACACTTTGTCTATATACACACCACACCATTTGCAAAATTCTTACTGGTTTTGAATTACCAGGCCTTTATTTTCTACCCAAGTCTCTGCAGTGTCCAACCTAGTTCACCCAGTAGAGAATTATATTCAAACATTGAGCATGAAAGCCTTCCATTCTATGGATTCAATCAGTGCCAACAGGATAATAATAGTGATAAAAACAAAAACAATTAACACCTGCTAAGCACTATGTTCCAGGTACTATTTTCAGCATGTTAACTCAGTTCATCTTTACAATTACTCTAGAACAGCAGTTCTCAACCTGTGGGTCGCAACCCCTTTGAGGGTCGAACGACCCTTTCACAGGGGTCGCCTAAGACATAACAGTAGCAAAATTACAGTTATGAAGTAGCAACAAAAATAATTTTATGGTTGGGGGTCACCACAACATGAGGAACTGTATTAAAGGGTCGTGGCATCAGGAAGGTTGAGAACCACTGCTCTAGAAGATAGATACTATTGTTATCCCCATTTCAAAGAAGGTAAACTGAGGCTCAGAGAGCTAAGTCACTTGCTCAAGGTCACATTGCAAATGAGAGGCAGAACCGGATACAAACCCAGGTGGGTTGGCTCCAGGGTCCCTGTGTCACTGTACCCTGCAAACAATGTGCTTGGATCTCAACTCTACTAAGAAGCAGACACAGCTAACATTTGGCATTTGTCCCCCAAGCCAGTTCAGTGCAAATTCTATATTGGCAGAAAAAAATATATGCATTTATTTAAAACCATCTAAAAATCATTTACAAGTGATGGATTAGAGGCACTTATCTGACATTTCAATAAAAGACACCCCACCCCTCTTTGTCTTCACCAGAAACGATCTAGAATGTAGAAACAAATCTGGTTTTTATGGATCCAGACGGTGGCACAGGAGCAGACTTTTTCAAAGAGTTTATCTGGTGGCTGAACCTATCATGTAGAGAACAAGGGTTTAGTTCCCCTTGAGAGTTGACTCTTCCAAAACTAACAGAGACCCAGAGCAGATAATCTGACTACTTCAAAAGAAGCCAGAGAACCCGAACTGTGGGCTGAATAGCTCAAGAAAAACGACGACAACAACGAGAGGCAGCAGCGTTGGGCAGGCTGCCGGGTCAGTGCTGGGCAGGCTGCTGGGTCACTGCTGGGCAGGCTGCTGGGTCACTGCTGGGCAGGCTGCTGGGTCACTGCCGGCCACGCAGCCTTGAGTGTGCCTGGCCGCAGCCTGGACATGCACAACCCAGACAGTCACTCCAGCTGGAGCAGGTCCAATCAGCAGGGCTTTAAAAATATCATTTTTAAATTTGTTGAACAAATGACTCGTTTTTAGTGAATTCAAACAGCCTTTAGTGCTTTTCCAGCTTCTTGCCCATAGCCTTTTTTTACCCCCTTGCATGTCTCAAAATCACCAGCGATCGCCCAGCCATGCAGCTGGCCGCTCACGCGGGCAGAGTTGGGCTCAGAAGACAAAGTCGCATTCCGTGAAAGGTACGCTGCAGGTCATCTTTCTCAACATGGTCCTAAGGAATTTGACGTGCTAATTTTTAAAAGGAAAACAAAAACAAAACATAAAATCTATACAGAATTAAACTAGTATGGAAAAGGGTATAGATACCAAAGAATTTACACAAGATATGAGGAAAAAGAGATTGACAGAATCACTCATACAATAATTTAGCAACAAGTTTGGACAAAATGCTGTCCTGGGCTCCTGTACTGATGGCTGAGGAAGGTGGTAAGTATGGCAGCATGCTCTTGTAAGGGTGACCAGTGACAGGACCAGCTAGGAGGCATGGGAGTAGGCTTCTGACTTCATAAGATACATCTATTTTATGTCAAAGTATTATCAATGGTCAGGTTCACATTGTGGCATTCTGGGTGGATTTACCCCTGCCCCCTTTCCTAAAAATTCTTTATAATGTAAATATTTCATTAATAATGGAAAAAAGCTAAGTGACATAGTCCTTCTTGAAACGTTTATAAAAGAGGTGACAAGATAAAAACTATATAAACACTACCAAAGAAAAGAGAAAATTACTGATTTTTGTATCACAGAGATGGTGTTTTTAGATTATAGGGTAGAAAATAGTAATGCAACTATATTTTATGTGCTGACTCATACTGTTCTCCCAATACACATGCTAAATTGAATAGTTTGAATGGAAAATATAAATGTAGCATTGCCCTGCCTACATTTCCAAGGGTACAGCTAGGTTTGTCCCCACAAATTACCTTTTAAACTCCTTTGTTTTGCCCCAATGCCTTTTATAATCTCACCCACTGGTCTGCCAGTCTCCGCAGGGTCATCCCTCTCGCTGCCCACCGGCTTGGCCCTGCCACCACATTTGTTCTCCTGAGCACCAGTGACCCTGCCCTCGCACACAGGCTTCCCCTCGACCTGAGGCCTTCAGGCACCTGCTCCGTGGCCACCCCGCTGCCTGTAACCAAGCAGACGGGGGGCTGGCTCCCTGTGGTCCTAGAGCCCCGGCCACATCCACACACAGTATCTATCATGCTGCACAGCGGTGATGCTTATTTGTGTCTCAGTTTATGCACCAGATTATATGCTCTTTAAAATAAGGGACCACATCTCATCACTCTTCGTATTCTCGGTGTCTAGCACAGTGCCTGGCACATAAAAGTGCTCAATGAACGTTTGGGAATTAAGAGAATAAAGAAGCACAAAACAAGGAAAAATATACTGTGGAAAACAAGTGAGAGTTGGTTGCACATAACAGACTTAACTCTTCTGTGGTGAACAAAATAAACATTCTAATCTATATATAATCTTATTTTATCTTCAAGGCATTAAGTAATACAGTAATATATTAATACACTTGTAAAAATTCAAATTCACTTTTAAAATGCAAGATTTCTTACAATGGGAGCTAGAGGCTGAAATATGTCACCTCCCTTTTCTGTGACTTCCCTTTCATCCTGGCTTTTATACCCAGAAACTGGGAGATAATTTAGACTGAGTAGATTGTCCCGACAGCAGCAGGTTGCTACAAAGTCCAGATTTACCCGATATGGGTAAAAATAGCCTGAGTTTTATTGGGAACTGTCAGGGAAAAATGGCAACTAGAACATCTGGATTTTCAGTCCTATTTCTTAGCAATGTCACTTTGAGACTACCCAGCTACAGAGAGAAAAACAGAACCTATTTCAGGGGAGGGGGTGGCATGGTGAGGAAAAACTGAGATAATGCACATAACGTGCTGAGAAAGGACTGGAAGTGTAATCAGTGGTTGTTATGCTGTTATTTGTGGTTGCTGTTGTTAAGAACACCACTTATTAGCTGTGTGAACCTGGACAAGTCACGGAGAGTTCATTGATATAAACTGTTTCTGGCACAACGGAAGTGTTAAATGACAGCAATGATGGCTGTCATTATTAATGATATTACCACGAGGATCCAAGGATCGAATGTATGTGACAGTCTTTTGAGATTGTAACCTGTTAGACAAATGAGAGACATTTTTCAGGGGTTTCAGACCTGTAGACATAAGGCCTACAGAAAGCACCCGAATTTGAACTAAGCATTTCAAATGTTATGTACTATGTTAAGGCTTCATAAAAATAGAAATTGTTCTCTTACTACCACACTCTAAAGTAGATATGTATCCCTGTACAATGGGAAAGAAAACCGTAGGTCAAAGGACAGGTGTTCCAGTAAGGGTGAACATGAATCTAGCTCATGCTGTTGACTGCAAGCCAAACAGGGCTCTCAGCCATTCCACCAGGTTGACTCTGGTTGTAGCTTATGTTGCAGCAGCCGGTAATCCCTTCCATTTGGCAGAGTAGGAATACATCAACAAAACTGATCAACAAAAACAAAACAATATGGCAAAATAATACATCTCATGATCTATCCATTTATTCAACACACCCTGATGAAAGAGTTATTGAGTGCCTGAAAGGAGGCAGCATCAAATTGGAGGGTCACCGACAAAGGTGCATTTTAAAAAAATAAGTTTTCTAATTGACTTTTGAGAGAGTGAGGAAGGGAGAGATAGAAACATCAATGTGAGAGAGAAACACTGATCGGCTGCCTCCTGCATGCCCCCTGCACACCCCCTGCTGGGGATCAAGCCCGCAACCAGGCAAGTGCCCTGACGGGAAGTCGGACTGGGGCCTCGCAGTCCACGGGACAACACTCCATCCCTGAGCCCCACTGGCCGGGAACAGGTGCACTTTCGGGGCACTTCCAGCACAGCAGGTTGGTGAGCTCTCCTGAACACCTTTTAGTACAGCCTGGTTCAACTAGAAATAAACAGTTTAGCTGGTGGGGTGTTATGAGTGTGACCTTGAATTTCTTGGAATAAAATGAAATACCCTAAGAAATGTTTTGACATTCATAAAAAGAAGAAACATTTTTATGAAATAACAAGAGTTTAAGTACTAGTATTTAAAATAAAATAAGGCTGTAAAAAGGTGTTTATTGAAATTGGTTTTAATTTCTAGGAATTCAGGGTCTGGCCCAAATAGAAAAATGCTTTTATATACTTCAGTATTCTATTTATTTGGGGATACTTATCCAACATTAGACATACAAATTATTGTTACTATGTACAATAATAGGTCTACTGGGGTTTCAGTTTGCAAAATACACGGACTAGACAACATCTACTAAACATGGAGCGACCATTTTGGCAAACCGTGTGCAGAGAAACTTGCCCCAGCCGAGCAGGAAGAAGGCAACAGCTCCCCGTTTACCGAAGGCAGGAGGACGGGACTTCTGCCTCACTATCTGCTGCTCAACAACGGCCGGCAGGGTGGCGGCACCGGAGGAGCCCGGAGCCT